TATACACACACATACACATACACATATACATATATATACATAGTATATATTATACACACACACACACACACAAAGAAAAGTAGATAGAATAGAAAAAAATAGAAAGCTAGTGTTTGTTTGTTTTTTGTTGTTAAAAAAAGAAAGAAAGAAGATAAATATAGATAAAGTAGAATTAAAATAGAATAGAAAGTGTTAGAGTTAGAGGGTCAAATAAAGTATAAACTATAGTTAATAGCCCCAGACAAGAAGCATAATTACTTGGTTAACATATGTGTCTTAAACTTTGAAATAAATTAATTTAAATACAATTATTTAGAATAAACAAAATAATGTCAACACTTTATTTTACAGCCCTGTTCCACGTGTACTTACTATGCACCTATTATTATAAATAACTAGGTGGTAACCCTGAATCTAACCTTAACACATGTAGGTACATTATACAACCGTACTTTCTTTGGTAAGTACACTGTATGTACACATAATGTCAAATAAATTGTAACCCAAATAATTATAGTTTTACAGCAAATAGTGCATAAATGAAAATGAAAAATAAGAGACGATAAGGAAAGCAATCTAGGCTATACAGTGATCCACAGTTGACCCTTCGCTAAGCCTTGGTGGTTTACTGTTGCTGACTCAGACAAGCTTTACAGTACATCCCATAGGAATGAACTGGAGATTTCAGCAGTGTAATTTTCATTAAAAAGTGCTCATGAAGTGGTAAACATTATTGGATATTATTTCTATGTGGGCTGGAATGAATCATGACACTGGCTGCAAAACATTTTTATTTCCCAAGTAGTTGTTAAACGATACAGTAACATAATGAAAAACTGCAAAGCGTATCAATCAAAATAGAGGCAAATGCGTGTTAAAGTAAAAAATAAAATAAAAAAACGAAAGCCTGTTTTGATAGTGATAACAAGTGATAACATTGGTGTTTCTAGAGTTTGTACAATATACCAATATACTATAAAACTGTCAACATTTTAGTTAGTGTATATCAACATGTCAATTACATAACATTAATTTACTTTCAAGCAACTGTCTCAGGCATGCTTATTTGGGAATGAAGGTGACAGCCTGTACTTCTGTAAAATTCTGTATCTGTAAAATAGTTTATATCCATAAACTTACATTAGATAAAAGCAATAACTCATCTGATGACATAGTGGAGAGCAACAGTTGTTAAGGTAGGATTTGCCAGTAAGGCTGGACTGGAAATCAACTAGCTAATATGGGCTGTAATCTAATTCACATTATTTTTTTAGGTAGTGTTAAATACCTGCCAGCCTTTCCTGCTGGCTAAATAGTCTTAGCCTAGTTTATAGTCTTCTTAGCGTCTACATGTCATGCCCATGTCCTCTCATTCATGAGTTTCCTGTGTCTTTTCCCTTTCCTCTCCCTCGTTCCATGATCCACAGACTAACACCTATCTACTCTTTCTCCATCAGACTGCGAGTGCAACGGTCACTCAAATCGCTGCAGTTACATTGATTTCATCAACATTGTGACTTGTGTGAGCTGCAAACACAACACTAGAGGGCAGAACTGTCAGCACTGCCGCCTCGGATACTTCCGGAATGCTTCCGCCGAGCTGGACGATGAGAATGTTTGCATAGGTCAGTCAGATATCACTCCACGCCAACCCGTTTCACTGTTCCCCTGACGCACCCACACCACGCTGTACAGAAATTGTCCTTTCTGGCCAAATGATATGTATGGAACTGGAAAGGTCAAGAAATCTTTCCTCATGTGCATACGGTCCAGCATTTGGTCTGCCACCACCTTGCCATACCTGTGACAATTTCTGACCTACTGAAGTCCAACAGAAGTATGGATTTAAATATACTAATATCATGCATCATTCATCTTACAGCCTTTACTATAGAATCGCAAGAAATCTTCTCCCAGACTCCCGTCTTCATTTTACTTAAGATCTAGGAAACTAAACAACTTGCATTTTCAACTGTCCAGCTTAAAGCTTTATCAATATCTGTATAATTATGCTATATGAGAGTAGTATAAAGGAAATGTGATTTGAAAACAAGCAATTTTGTATTTTGTGCATGACATGAAATGCCACATGCAACCTATTTTACTAAAAGTAATACCGGATATTTAACAAGAAAAAAAAAACAATGTGCAGTAGGACGGGATTGGATTTTATCTGTGAGGAATTGATTGCATTTTTTTTTTTATTGAATTTTTGAATGAAAGTGGACAGTACATGGTAAAACTGAAAAGAGGGGTTTGGGATGACAAGGAAATACATTTCACACTCACAGGCGTTTGGACATTTTGATAAAGGCAAAATATTTTCTTTGGAATAAAATGAATCATTCACTATATGACAAGGAATGTGTATTAAAAAAGTAAATAGAATGGTTAATATAAATAAATTGGGTGGCGGGGGGAATTCAATCAGAAATCCTAAGATTATTATTATAATTTTTTTTTTTTTTTATGAAAACTGCTCCAAGAGCTGCTCAAGCAATCTGTCACAACACTTTGATAATGATACAGTGACCTCTACTGGAAAAATACACACACATAAATCACTGCGCTATGACTGACAGCTGCCCAGATGAAAAAAATTATACCCTTGTGAATGCATAGAGCAAAACCTCACCGATGAACAACCACTGATCACATAAAACTTGCAAACATAGAAGTGAAGTTTTCCTGCAAACACATGTGAATATATGCCTATTGCCTTCAGGCTATGCTATATTTCCTTTAGGCAAAATGTTGTAACTTTTGAAACACTGTACATCATTTTTAAATATTATTTTATATTAAACATTCATTTTCCCTGCAGGTCCACTAATAATGTAAGTCATTTATGAGCGTTTATCACATATTTTTGTGACCCTCAGAATTATACAGGTCTTTTTTGTTGCTATGGCTTTAAGACTTTTACTTTGTGTGGCGCTGTTGTGCACTTTTACTTAAAGGAATAGTTTTGTAAAATTTGCAAAAAATGTACTAACCCTCAGGCCATCCAGGATGTAGATGAGTTTGTTTCTTCATTGGAACACATTTTGAGAAATTTAGTATCATATCACTTGCTCACCAATAGACCCTCTGCAGTGAATGGGTGCCGTCAGAATGAGAGTCCAAACAGCTGATATAAACATCACAGTAATCCACAAGTAATCCACATGACTCCAGTCCACTAATCATTAAGACATTTTTAACTTCAAAATGTTGCTTCCGGCTAAAATACAAGCCCTCTGTCAATATAGAGAAGAAAAATAAAATGTCATCTTGTCTGGATCAGGAGAGAAATATGTGCAGATCAACCATAGTTTACAAGTGAAAACAGTCCAAAGCAGTTCTAAAGAAATGTGTTGGAGGACGTTGATGTGGGAGGACAACAGGGGTGGATTTTTGTACTGATGGACCATCGGTGAGCAAGTGATGTAATGCTGAATTTCCCCAAATCTGTTCAGATGAAGAAACAAACTCATCTACAACTTGGATGGCCTGAGGGTGAGAACGTTTTAAGCAAATGTACATTTTTTATGGGAACTATTTATTTAAGAGCTGCAGGTTTCCTGTTGAATCCAATATGGTTTTACTGCCCCATCAGGAATATAGTTTTTAAAAAAAGGTCTCTAACTATCCTTCTGAAGAATATGCAGAGCAGTAATGTTGGTAAGCATGAAACAAGCTATTTATGAGTTTTAAGTTCTGAAAGTTACAGTGTTTTCATAGTTCAATTAAATCTATCACAAAAGAAAGAGAACATAGCCTTCCTTTTCAAGGTTTCAGCAAACATAATCTACAATTGGTCTACAATTTTCTATACACAGAGTGTAACTGTAATCAGCTGGGCTCTCTACACGCCCGGTGCAATGACACAGGCTTCTGCCAGTGTAGAGAGGGCACCACGGGCCAGAAGTGTGAGGACTGCCTGCCTGGATATACCTGGAAGCAAGGCTGCGTGCGTAAGTCACACTTCCTTCACAAAAGCATTAAACACAGGCTTAGTCATTCTGTGATGGATGATACCACTCGAAAAACAAATAAAGTGTTGTGAACGAACAACATATGGGTGTCATTTCACTCAAACATATGAGCAACATTGTTACTCACAGAGGTCTTTGCTGTTGTACTACCAACAGCCTGCTGGTCGCAGCAGCTGTGCATTATAGACACTTGTGGGTGGGGTGTCAGTGGCTAAAGCAGTGAGGTAGGGTAAGAAGGTGTTGCTGGTTCAAACCTTGCAAAGAATTGGCTGTATAGTTAAACCCTGTTAGCAAAGGACTAGAAAACAGCCCAAAACCTACATTAGCTTATCACAACCCACCTCTACCGATGAAATTACTGTTTACAAATATACACGTGACTGTGACAGCTCCCAGTTCTTTTTGATTAAGGCATTATACAAAATGATCTGAAAAGTATGTGTACATGGAGTTGAAACGCCCAGTCTCCAAAAGACTGGTGGAGGTCTGTAGATTTCTATCATTATTGGGGGATCAGGACAAGCCTAGGATTTGACACAAATTATGATCATTCACAGATCATTACCATCATTATCATCTCTGCTATAATTAGACCTGGTTTTCATGCAAGCATCGCATAAACTTATATAAAAAGTTTTAACTGGTTTTTAAATTTCAATTCAGCTTTCTGTGAGGTTTGGTTTCATTCATTCATTTCTAATTACTACTATTACACATTATTATTAAATATTTAATGGTGGCATTTTAAACACTTATTATTAATATATATTATTTATTTTCTGATATATGATTCAGATTTTCTGTTATTCAGATTTTTTTAATGAAACTGATACTTTTATTCAGCAAGTATGCATTAAATTGATGTAAATGTTTTTTATATTGCTACAAAAAAAATGTCAATTTCAAAAATAAATGCTGTTCTTTTGAGCTTTCTATACATCAAATAATCACGAAAAAGAAATGTATCATGTTTCAACAAAAAATATTAAGCAGCGGAACTGTTTTCAACATGGATTTTAATCATTTTTATGTACTTTTATTATTTTATTTACAATTTTTGACCAAATAAATGCTTGGTGAGCATAAAATACTTTTTTAAAAAGTAAAAAAAAACATTTTTTAAATTTTACCGAAACATTTGAAAGGTAGCGTACATACACTAGTTTTCTGGCCCACACAGACACACAGACACACACACAGGTTTGTTTTTGTGAAAAGTGGGGACATCCCATAGGCATAATGGTTTTTATACTGTACAGACCATATATTCTACTGCCCTACACCAACCCTACCCCTAAACCTACCCCTCACAGGAAACTTTTTGCTATTTCAGATTTTCAATACACTCCACTGAAAAGTGGGGACATGGGGTAATGTCCGGAAAAGTCACCTTCTCCTTGTAATACCTATGTCATACCTTTGTCATTATACAAATGTATGTCCTCATTTGTCACAAAAATGCGCGCACACACACGCACACACACACACACACACACACACACACACACACACACACACACCTGTGGCCTCTTAGTCACTGAAAATGAATCCCTTCCAGTTAACTGTCAATGTGAACACCTTAAGTCACTATATGAGTAAAATATATCTGCTAAATGACTACCTACATTTAGGATGAAAAATGTAACGTTAAGACAATAGAACAATCCCTTAAAACATGATCTATCTTTATGTTTAGAGACATGTAAGATTAGATATGTAACATCATTAATGAGAATCTCCTCTCTGTGTCTTTCTTCTACTCCCAGCAAACGTGTGCGACGACGAGTTCTTCCTGTGTCAGAACGGCGGCTCCTGTATCCAGAACCAGAAGTGCGTGTGTCCACCCAGCTTTAGGGGTGTTTTGTGTGAGCAGCCACGCTGCCAGGGCGAGAAAGGGTGCGATGGCGCATCGGCCTGCTACCTCAGCACACTGACGCTGCTGCTCTGCCTTCTAGCCAACAGCCTGCTTAAAGCCAGCACCTAGAAACCCATCTTAGTCCTGATATCGATTCTAGTCTACGCAGGCCAAAGGGCTGAACCCTGCGGACAGAGAGAGAGTGGCCTGAACTCGTACGGAGTACGGACCCAGCCTCACGGTGCTGAAATCTTTTTTGGAAATGGCGGTGGCTGCACTGAGGTCAAAACGCCTTCATGAGACGAGCAGTTTATTGCTTGCCTACTAGCAACACTGATCGCCTGAACTTTATACCAAAAACAGAATTAAAAGAACTTAAGTTCAGTTTCAGCTCACTATACACAAAACTCTAAAGAAAGTGGGGAAATATATAGATGCGGTTTCAATTCCTTTGCATTTCTACTTTCGCTGTAGTTCTGACGCTCACTGAGGTACAAGCACCGCATTTAGCTAGCTTGTTTTAACGAACAACAAACGGTCGATATCACGGAAGCCTACTTATGCCAAGTTATTCTTCTCTTGAAGACTTGTTTTTACATTTCCTTTCATTGCTGCATTTTTCTTGCATTCTATTGCCATTGAGGTTGTAACAAGTAGATCAAACCAATGGAAAAGATGTTTAATCGCCGTCCCGCTAGTATGAAGAATGAACGTCTCTAGCTTGTGTTTGAGATTACGTTTATGGAATGTAGAAAGAGGTTTTAAATTGTCACACTGAACAGATATACATATTAAAAATGTAAATAAAATAAATGTTAACTGAAACTTTTAAAAAAAGGTATTTCAGCTAATTTCCAAGATTACATTTCTCATTTAGTGACTGATAATGGATGACTGGGGCAGTCGTGACCTAATGATCTAGTGTCGGAATTGTAACCCAATGGTCGTGGGTGTTGCATCTTTCCCAAAAAGACTCATGGCTGTATTAGATCAAAAGGGTGCTTCTACTAAATACTGAGCAAAGGGTCTGAATACTTAGGACCATGTGATATTTCAGTTTTTCTTTTTTAATAAATCTGCAAAAATGTCAACAATTCTGTGTTTTTCTGTCAATATGGGGTGCTGTGTGTACATTAATGAGGGAAAAAAATTTACTTAAATGAAAAAAGCGGATACTCTCCAAAATGGCGCTACAGTGTCATGCGGAGGAGACGAATTGTTGAATAAAGTCGTTTTTTTTTCTTCTTTTGCACACAAAAAGTATTCTCGTAGCTTCGTAATATTACGGTTGAACCCCTGATGTCACATGGATTATTTTACAGATCTCCTTGCTACGTTTCTGGACGTTGATCGTGGTAGTACCCTTGCTGTCTATGGGAGGGTCAGAGAGCTGTCAGATTCCATCAAAAATATCTTAATTTATGCTCCGAAGATGAACGGAGGTCTTACGGGTTTGAAATGACATGAGGGTGAGTAATTAATGACAGAATTTTAATTTTGGGGTGAACTATCCCTTTAAATCATATTTTTGTTTTTATTCACATTTGGCCATGCTCCAGAAATAAATGGCAATTAGAAACAATATCTGTTTTTAATCCACTTACAATAAGCTTAAATTGTCAACATTAAAAATGCACAAGCCTATTTACCATATAATTGAGCTATATACTCAAGTATACAAAACACTGTGTATCAGGCAAAAGGCCTGGAAATAAGGCCTCATTAAGGATGAATTTAGTTAATTGGCATTTAGAAACACTAAATATGACTACTGGTGATGTTCTCATCCAGCATTACATATTAGTTTGTTTTTCCATGTTTATGCCACAGAAACTAAAGTAAGTATACACACTCTGTGATAACCTGCAAACGTTTTAATATACTTTGTTAATTCTTGAGAGCTGGGATTAAACAGCCTACATATCTCGTCCATTTTGAAGTGGAAATTTTCCAAACAAATGGTAGTTTAACGTCCGTGTAAAGCAATATTAAGTTATGTGTTCTGAGTTTGTCACACAACACAGAAAAATGTTATTAACCACCAAGCCAAGTTTGAATTAAAAAAAAAGCGCCAAGTAAATTAAAGTTATCAAAATCTTGACATGCTGGGGGGCGTGTCCGCTGTCGGCGCTGAAACCACGCCCATTCGCAGGAGGAAAGCTGCCGCCTCTCAACTGTCAAATAATACCGCTACATCATACTGTGAACACTCACATTTTCCCTGGAAACTCCCGTATTTCACACCCATCTCCCGCCCTCTCCCGTTTTGTTATTTCTCAGGAAACTCCAGTAATTTGTATGGCCCAAACCTCGTTATATGAATAACCACGTCTATATATGAACCCAAGCGTATCTATGATTCTGTGACCGAGCGTTCGTGCCGGGTTCGCCTAAACACTTAGGAATAAGAAAACAATAAAATGAGAGCGTCTGAACTCTTCTTTATTATCCGTCCCACCACCGAGTGAACTCAAAAACCCGCGACACTCTAGAGCAGAAAGTGCGCATGCCCATTGCCTATCTACGACAAGCCCCGAGGGGATAAATGCATTACACACACACTCATAACGAGCGCCCGTACATCTAGAATTAGTGCAATATAACAATCAAATAAAGTCTGTTACAATTCCAAGGTTGTCCAGTTGCCAGATCTTGTATAAAACGCATCCCACAGCATCATACAAATTTCAACCCATTTGTGACCCCAACCTGGCAACCTAGTTGCTCTGTTGATATCTGTGCAGATAGTAGAAGCGGGAAGTTGAATCATGCATCACTGGTGGGCTAGTAGTGCACCGGCGAATACAAAATAAAGTATAGGTTACATGTAAATTTAACAACAGCTGGACGGAAGAACATTTTCATATATCTAAGCCATATCGACAATGACCACGCCTTTTGCAAAGTGCAAATGTGTTTTTCAAGTCATCTCCATGTAATAAAGTATCTGAATGATGCAGTGCTAACTGACATAGCATTTATTACAGTAGCCTAAAGAAACTATAAAGTATATTTTCTGCCTTATTCTTTGATGAAAATGTAAAAAAATAAATAAATAAAGTGTTAGGGGAGGGGCCATGCGGCTCTAGTGCGACATCAAGACATGATTTCAGCCCCGCCCGAAATCCTGAACACAAAAATAGTGAAAAACGGTCCAACTCCACAGTTCACGCAGTCTTTGTAACGTGTTTTCAGCAATACATTTCTAACATTTATAATATGTTTAGAAATAATTCTCTGGATTGCCTTTACGCGGACTTTAAGTTGTGACACGTTGTGTTTCGGGTCTCGTGACAAACATTTCCTGGGCAGCACATTCATCAAACATGACATTTGTGGTCTTAAAGGGGTCATATGATGCGATTTCAAGTTTTCCTTTCTCGTTGGAGTGTAACAAGCTGATTGTGCATAGATGAGATCCCTGAAGTTGCAAAGACTAAAGTCTCAAACCCAAAGAGATATTCTTTGTCAAAATTAAGACTCTGCCACGCCCCCCTAAAACGGCTCGTTCTAACACCCCCCCACATATCTACCTCACTATGTGGACATTAGTCAGCTGTCTTAACCATGTCTTGTGTACTGCAAACACATACCAACTTCATCACTGTCTGTCACGCGACTCTGTTCCCCTTTCGGGCTCTGTCTTTACATTTATTTTGAAAGATGAAGCTCACGATTATGGTAAGGGGCGTTACATTTCCGACGAGTGCTTGCGGTGTTCGGCCAATCACAATGCACTGGGTCAGCTGGCCAATCAGAGCAGACTGCGCTTGCCGGAAGGAGGGTCTTTGTAGAAAACGAAGCGTTTGAGAGAGGCGGGGCATAGAGGACCTACAATAATGTACAGTATTTGAAAAATAATGTGTTTTTTGAACATTAAAGCATGTCAACATATTCTGTTACACCAAATACACAAAATAATGATCTTTAAAAAAGCATCATATGACCCCTTTAATTCAGTCCATACCGCTCCATTCTGTGCTGTTTTATGGTGTGTAATCTAGTTCAGTTGTTGTAAACATTACACTTACAGAATTGTGAAATTAAACTTAGTAAATCTTACATTGACAAAACCTTCATCGACGCAGTGTTCTTGGTGCAATTAATCAACGGCGTCGACTTCGATTGGCCTTTTGCCTTGAACCTTCAAGACCAATTGTAATTGGTCTCGTCTTGTTTACATATTTTAAACATTTATTTGCCCCTTTTACTTATGAGGCTGACGTGAGATAAACATGTGCCTGTTTTGTTTGCATATTATTTAATATTAAAAAGGCTGTCATCCCTAAATTCAAACTTAAATATTCCTAAATAAATGTACAACTTTACCACAATTCTGTCAAAACCATTTGATGCCTTTATAAAGTATATCGTGAATCTTTTCTCACGCCCGTGTATGCATACACACACACACACACATCTGGTCAGCTATCCTTCTGGGGACTCTCCATAGGTGTAATGGTTTTTCTACTGTACAGACCGTATTTTCTATTGCCCTACACCAACCCTGCCCCTAAACCTACCCCTCACAGGAAACTTTCTGCATTTTTACTTTCTCCAAAAAAATCATTCTGTATGATTTATAAGCTTTTGTACCCATGGGGACCTCAATTTAGGTCCCCACCGTGACACGAGTCCCCATGAGTCTGTGTGTATTCAGGTGTAAGTCCCCACCAGGATATATAAACCTGTACACACACACACACACACACACACACACACACACAGTTTTAAATTAAAATGTTTAAAGTAAATTTTATCTTGTTTATTCTCGTTTGCAAAACCAACTCCTAAATCTTAAACTTACTTAAACTACCTTGAAGCATTGCTATTTTCTTCAGAAAATGCTAATCTAGTTTGTGAATATGATTCTTGTTTTGATCAACATCTTAAATTCTACAAATTGGACCAATATACTGTATCTAATCAATATATATGTGCCTTAAAATTAATAACAAAATAAAATAAAAACTGTGCACTTCCACTTGAAGAGCACTAGATGGCAATATGGTCTCAAACATCACAATTGTTACAACTTTAATAGACTGTGATATTACCATTATGAAGAGGTCAAGGTTTTGCCAAAGGCTCGAAGTTTCACTTGTTAGCATGGTCCAGTTAGCCATAATTACACAAAAACATCCTTCTCCATTGATTTTCATTCAAAAGTAGTAATGTTTTCTTATGAAATAAAAGGTTTTTACAATATATAAATGACAAATATTTCATTTTATTGTATTACAGCTGATGTTTTAAAGAAAGACTTTAGTGATGACACTCATGGACAAATATTTTGCTTTTATTTTGAATGGCACTCACTGAAGTGCACCAATCTTGACAATGGCATTCTACATGGATATATACATTCTGTCCATAGCATTTACTTGACTTTACACAGGTGAAACAATATATCTTTTTCTCAACACAAGTATTTTTCTTGGACTGTACAGTAAACTAACAAATAAATTAAGAACCCTGAAATAGCTAAATAAAACTTTAATAACTCTAGAGGCAATTGCACATGAATTGCACTGAACATTTTCTTCAACACAAATGACTTCTTGTATATTGGTATGTCTTCTGTTCAGGTATGTACATGTGGCAAAACTGTCAGCGTAGCTCTGAAACATACATACATACAAAAGATGTAGAGGTAAAGCAGATTTTTACATGGTGTTTGATATAGAACCATGCCAAACAGGAAAAGGTGTCTTCCTTTAAATTAAGTGGCACTAAACAGCAGCCCTTTGACTTTCACATAATATATTAAGGGAGTAAAAAAAAAAAAAAAAGAAGTGTTTTAATGTGCCATACTATTGCCTTTAAACATTTATGTTACAGGAAGTCCAGACATGTTTCGTTTACTTGTTTTCAATTTCTCTGTATTTAAACAGGTTAGTATAAAGATGTGGTCACATTATCGAAATTTCAGCAAACATTTGCAGGCAAAAAGGTCCACTGTTTATAGTGAATAGTGTAGTGATATATGAAGCACAACTCACACAGAAGTCACTTTCAATCCAAGCAGCTTTCTGTTGGTCAGCTTTGGTGAATTCACGTGACCAACCTGAACCCGTTGCGAACCCCACACTGGGAAATATATCGGCCACACATGAAATTACTGATTCCTTTTGTAATGAATGGATTTTGCCCACGAAAATGTACAGAACAATGGTAAATGAGACCTCACCTTAAGTCTTAAAAGTGAAGTATGCCGTTTCTGCATCACTAGTATAACTAACCGCCACAGCAAATATAATGTTTTCAGACAGGTTTCTCGGATTCGACTGTTTGAACAAACACAGTCAACCTCACACCAATGGTATTTTAACATCCAAAAAATCTTCAATTTTAAAGAAATGTAAAGTCACCATGAAACCAAAATTGTCAAAAAAAATTTAATGGAATATTGCAGTGTTTACTTTAAATGATTCATTATTTATAATTTTTTTTTTAATTCATGTGCTCTCCCCTTGCAACGAAATCTCTTCTCTTCTCAAAGGAGATTGCAGCAATTAGCGAACAACAACGATCCAACAATCCACTCAATTCTCCAACAATAATATCAAGTCCTGCCCTACATTTGATCTCGTTCAAGAAGCTGTTTCACCTGGATATATGTCACAATATGGAAAAAATGAGCTCAACTTCTGTTTCAAGCTGACTTTAACAACATTGGACACACCCAGCATTCAATCTTAAACAAGTACTCTTAATTTTGGGGTTATAGTTGAATAAATAAATCAACTGAACATAATTTAAAATATAAATTAAAAAAATAAATTCCAAACAACAGTTAAACAGAGCATACTTTCTCTCAAGTCTGTATGATAAATTAAAAAAAATGAGAATACTGAAAAATGGAGATGTTTGATTTGACATTTATACACAAAGAAACACTGACAGTCTTCAAACTCTTCTCCATAAGCCTGATTTGAATAAAGTTCAGTGAAGCTAAAACAGGCTCGTCTGATACCGGTGCAAAGGTCCTGTCTGCAGGGTTGATGCAACTATTGCTGCGCTGCACTGACTTCCAGCTTGTTTGATGCAAACCGCATTTGAAGAGCAGGAAACATCACAACCTTTAAATGAAAAACAGCCACAATACACTTCACACATCAACTCAAACCTTTATCACCCAGTAGAAGTGCTGAATGCTATATGCTTCGTCCTTGCTGCTCTGAATAGCCTTTATAACAAGTCCACAGAAGCAGGTTTTGGTTAAAGGGTCCATTCTAATGCTATAGAAAGTGCATAGAGTGGAAGAAAGACATCGTAGGGGACACACACTGATTGTACTGTAGGCATGATGTTGGATACTGAGTCTAATACTGGCCACGTGAACAGCAAACAGTGTGAGGACATTTCTATCCACGGCGTTGATGCAGAAGGGTTAAAGTGTGTTGTCATCTTTGCCCTGTCTAGAAGCAGCACCTGAATGTATAATGGCAGCTTACATTGTTTTTCCTTAATAAAGTACAGCAGACCTCAGCACGGGAAATACAGACCGTACGAAAAAAACAAAATCTCTTTTCTCTGAAAAGCCCATAAAAAATTATATACATTAATGAGGTGCGCTGCCTCTATATAGACTAAAATGTTATGCACATACAAAACAAGTATGCAACAAAATGCGATGTTTAAAAGTCATCTCTTTAACCTTACAAAAGAAAGCAAGCAGTTTGTGCTACTGCTGCCGTGGAGTGACGCAAGCAACAAAAATGGTCAGAAAAGGATGTTTACATGAAAGTTACAATAAAAAGAAAGCGGAAAATAGTGTTTCAACAAATAATTACATGCGTATGATTTGTTATTATCATGCTAAGTCCAATCAAGAGGTGTATGTGCACAGTTCAAATCTAGAGGTGATACAGAATTTGGTCACGGCTTACATCAGTGACCCGAGTGGCTCTCGTGACAAGGGCTATGAATGAAGCATCATGGGACATCTTTGCGTGGCAAATCTAAAAGGATTCAAAAAGACACATTAGCCTTTATACACTGAGCGAAAAAACAACATTGTGCAACTCTTAAATGTCCTATCCAATTAGTTCCCAAAAAGAGTTATTTTCGACCCAGTACTAGGGACTTTGTGAAGTAATTTTAACCCCGCCGGTGCGCTGTTTTTCCATACTGTAAGAGAGTTACCCATAGCCCTTGTCCGTCACTAGGCCCGTAGGCCTGTGTGTGTTTGTGTCCACGCTAACAGTTGCTACTGTTCCGGAATTCACCGTTTTCCGTGATCTGCAGCTTGGTAGGGTTTGTGGGAGAGATGCCGTTCCTCGTTTGCATGCTGTAACGATCCTTCAGCTGAGACAGAGCACTCATTAGCCGGGCGTTTGCGGCGTCCAGGGATGCGATTCTCTTCTCCTGTGGGGAGTGACCATTAATGGAGGTCAGATAGGAGAAGGTGATTAACAGTGCATGATGTTTAATGTTTAATTAAAGTCTTTCTACTCTGCAATGGACGCAAGGTGACTGGCACTCTCTTGTCTGAAACATTACAGACTAATTACTCCGTCTATAACCCATAAAATGAATTTACAGAGTTTAAATTAAAATTCATGCTGCTACGGTGGTATTCTCTCCTTGTCTTTTAGAAAATAAATCTATGATGTAAACAGTCTTTAATGAATTTGATGAGTGCTAAAATGAATCCACAGTGGGTGGTTTTTATGCTCATCAAACTGTTTACGAAAGATGCTGATTGTCCCCGGAGGACACGGGTGTTCATCATTAAACTTTCAGATACATTAACACCATTAAACCTCAGAGACCAACTCATAACATCATGCTGAAATCTAAACCAAGCACAAAAGGGCGCTATGACCCTGCAAACAAGTAGCTGACAAACGAAACAAACATTTAAGACCATTAGTGAAAACGCTGTTTTTTTCTTGTTTGATAGAAAATGATACATTCAATTATTTTATCAGCATGACAACTTGAGTGAAAAGTTAGCATTGATTTTTTTTACTATTCAGTATGCACCCTTAATGACAGCTGCACTCAAGCTGACACAGACTGATGATAATGTTCTCCAGCCTGATTTGAGAATGATCCAAAAAGCTGAAATGGAATTATATATATATATATATATATCCTGCTCACATGCTCTGATAATAATAGCTTTGTAGGACTTTACATTATTTGGATAATTAAAACAACAACAGCAACAACAACAAACAGTTAAATTTGATTCTGTTGCATAGAACTGATTAAAAATAATATATTGATATTTAATATTAATATATTTTCTGTCCAATTTCATTGCTTTATTTTCAATAAAGGTGAGGTTATTTTATTGGCTTTATTAATTCAGTATCATTAAAATTATTGAGTTAAATTAAAAAGTCTTACAAACTAATTTGATAGTATTTAATAAAATAATAAATAATTATTAAAAAGCATTTAAAAAAGCATTAAAAAGCAAAACAGAATTTTCAGTGAAAGTCTTGACTGTCACTTAGTTTAATGCATACTTTCTTAATAAAATATTTCTTTCTTTCTTTCTTATTTAATCACTGGCCTCAAACTTTTGCACAGTAGTATAGGTATACAGGAAAGTGTATATTTTAAAACATTTTGCAGTTCACTTAAATAGCACTGCTGTGTAACCAAATACTTTTAGTATTCATTAATATATTCCATAAGTGTCTCATTTAATATGAGCTCATTAAACCATATAATAATTATGTAAAATTTAGATAATTGCTGTTTAAAATACTTTTCAATGGAGTATAGCGTGTCAACGCAAATATTTTTCACTTAAATTAAGCATCTGGATTTAAATGCACCAGCTGAACGGCATCATGAAAACTATTTGATTACGATAAACACTGCCATGACTTGAAAATGATTAAAGACATATAAAAGGTAATTAGATATTTAATTCACCTGGGCTTCGATGATTTTCTGTTTGGAGTCTACAATGGCCTGCATGTCTGTGTGATCTTTCTTCAGCTCCTCTTCAACTGACATCAACCTGAAACATAACATTTCAGATGCTACTTAAGTGCTTAACTGAACTAGAGTGTAATACTTTAAATACCATCAGAGGTTATATCTAGGAAACAGTTAATTTTCAACCCTTGTAATATCTAATGGATCACCCCTTATGGGATTTGAACCTACAATGTTTCAGTTTCTAGACCGGACACCACCTCAAATCCAAATCTTCACCTGGTGATGATGCTCTTCATCTGGTGCTCTTTCTCATCCTGCTGCTTGCGTAATCGCTCCTCCGTGTCCTCAAGCCGGGCCTGGTACTCCAAGAGCATCTTCTGGGTTTGGTCATCCTGGCTCTTTATGCGAGATTCATACTCTTCCAGCTTCTTAGCAGAAATACGCAGCTTTTCCTGCAGGACAGCAATCTCCTGCTGATACTGAGGACGAGAAAGAGAGAATGAAGTACTCTAATAGCAGGATTATAGAGCAACAAAAGCTGTGTAAAGAGGGAGTTCTCGGGTGTGTACGGCTGTGGTTTGAAATGCATATTACATGATCAGAGCCCTGCTAATTATCTTGTATCTGCCTGCTAAGCCTGGGATATCCAGCAAAGCTGTATGAAATATATCTAACAGGTGCGACAGAATATTTCAAAGATGAATTCTGTAGCTCACAGTAGAGCATGCTGCTAACAACACAAAGGTCATGGGTTTAACTCCCAGGCAATCAATGTACCTTGAGAGCTTGAAATCAATATATATATATATATATATATATACTACCGCTCAAAAGTTTGGGATCAGTAAGACTTGTAATGTTTTTTAAAGAAGTCTCTTCTGCTCAGCAAGGCTGCATTTATTTGTTAAAAAATACAGAAAAAAACAGTAATCTTGCAAAATGTTATTACAATATAAAATAATGGTTCCAAATATCTTTTTTTGGAAACGGTGATACTTTTTCAGGATTCTTTGATGAATAAAAAGTTAAAAAGAACAGCATTTATTCAAAATATAAATCTTTTCTAACAATATAAATCTTTGCTATCACTTCTTAGCAATTGAACACATCCTTGCTGAATAAAAGTTTTAATTTCTTTCAAAAAAAGAAAGAATCAAAATTTACTGACCCCAAACTTTTGAAAGGTAGTGTATATTGTTAGAAAAGATTTATATTTTAAATAAATGCTCTTATTTTTAAACTTTTTATTCATCAAAGAATCCTGAAAAAAAGTATCACAGGTTCCAAAAAAATATTAAGCAGCACAACAGTTTCCAGCATATTAGAATGATTTCTGAAAGATCATGTGACACTTTAGACTGGAGTAATGGCTGATAGAAATTCAGCTTTGCATCACAGAAATAAATTACATTTTAAAGTGTATTAAAATAGAAACCATTATTTTATATTGTAATAACATTTTGTAAGATTTCAGTTTTTTTCTGTATGTTTGATCAAAAAATGCAGTATATATATATATATATATA